CATCAGTTGGCATTTCAAATACAGGACTGGCTAGTTCTGGTGGCCTCAGTAATGGGCCTGTTGGCATTGGCGTTAATTCCACTGGCAGTAGTAGTAATGCCATTGGCAGCGGAGGCACTGCTGCTAACGCAGTTGCCGGTATGATGCTCAGTGGAGGGCTTGGCATGGGCCCAGGGACCCATGGTGTTATCGCTTCAGGTCTCTCTTCAGCTGGGACTAGTAGTGGCAGTAGTGGCGGTGGAATTGGCTTCTCTGGTATTGGGATGCCTCTTTCCAGTTCGACCGGATCGCAACTAACTTCCGGTATATCTGGTGGTGCTAGTTGCGCCAATACTGTATCTGCTGTAGGAGCTGGTTCCTCTTGTGCAGGCGGGGCAGCTATAGCTACTGTTGGCAATAGTGGGTATAGTGGGGGGGCTGCTGGATTTCTGATGGGTGGAATGGCGTCAACACTCGTGGTCAACCTGCTCCAACAGCAAGTTGCTCTTTGCACTAGAGCAGTCCATTCAGTCTTCCGGGAATCAGCCTTTGGGGAACTCGACAAAGTTTCATGGTATACATTTGCTAATATCACTGTCCAACCTCGTTCTTCTTCAAAATTTAACCATAACCCTTCCCTTCCTCTGTCATATCATTTGATCTTATGCATTGATTTAGCTTTTTTCTTATGGTATGAAAAGCTTTTCCGCCGAACGCCTTTATCTTCAAAGTACCTTGTTTAAATGACCATTCGTTCGACTGACCCTGTTTTTACGAGATTAAAAGATACTTATTTTCCCTTAGATTAAATTAGGCTATGGAATTTCTCTCAACAGAAAATTAATCGCTTAAATTAAATAACATTTTATATTCATTTCACTTGCACATTATGGCCCATAGGACTGTGCTGGGCCTATTACCATGTATAGCATTGCCTGTACAGGTAATCTTATAATCTTGGACCGAACGGGGCAACCTAAATGCATGGCTCAAACTACATTCATAAGATTTTTAATTGATTTTTACATAACTTCCGATTTATTTCTTTAGGGAAACTCTTCTGTCCACGATGATAGAAACCATTTCAAAGTCGATGTCAAACTTAAAACCAACAGACCGACATGACCATCATTGGCTTTCCAACGAACAGCTGACTGAATCCTTATTTCAAGTTAGTCTTTGCACACGTAAAGTTATTTTTCGTATTTATGTAGAGTTTCGAGACTACCAGTAAATTAGTAAATGAGATTTATTCACCCAATTTCGTTTAAGGGGATGAAGGACTGGGTGAATACATATCATATTGCACGTATAGTTGTCAGCTATTTTCTCCTCTATCTACTCTTTCTCCTTTAAACTTTCTATCCATAATTTTAAGTCTCATTTTCTTTGTCGCTTTTTTTTGTAAAAAAATCTTTTTTTGCTTGTTATTTTAAATATTGATTGTTAGTCTTCTCGCGATGTGTTTGGGTGAAACTTTGCCTTTTCACTATAATTTTACAGTTTATTTTATCCTAAATTTAGTTCCTATCCAAGATAGAAGGTTTCCTCAATCTCACACCTTATCTAACACATGACAAGCGCCTTATCCCCGCTAACACAAATCGTTAATTTATATATTATATAAGAAGGGCTTTAACCAACTTTATCATTAAGCTTGATTTATGTATAATTTCAATAGCAAAGAGTTTAATTTTTATTATGAGGAAGCACCGCTATTAGATTGGTGCCTGATCCCTTAAAATGAGATTTAAGGCGAATGTATCTATTATATGCGAGAGTTAGTGACTTTGTCTAATTAGTTATTAAAACATTGAATTAGATTAGGCTAAATACGGTGTGCAAATTTTTTCAAACTTGGTGTTAATAAATGAGTAATTTTTTAGTTTTTTTTTGTATAATAGCCAATTCTGAATATAATGTATTCTATTGTGACGGCGAGCTATAAGCTTGCCTGTTCTGCAAACCCACTATAAATGTAATATAGGAGAGTCAGACTCGTATCGAAAGTCACGTCCGCCTTGTGTCCAACTAACATTCATGGCGGTGTTGAGTAATGGTACAATTTTGAAATTATATGCTGCAATTGCGGGTTCATTTCCCTTTGGGGACGCTGATAAGATCTTGACAAGGTCTAAACTGCAGTTCAAACCGGATGATAATACCTTTTAAGAGGCATGGTCTACCCATACTACTACTGTCAATCCTTATCAACTATCTGTTTGTACGCATTAAGATGACCACGACTCTTACAGGATTATAGGCAAAAGCCTGTCTAGGTTTAATACCTATTAGCATTTGTTCACGCGTACACAACTTTCAAAGTTTTTTGGCGAGGCTTGGAATGTTCTAATTAACATTAAATGCAAGTTTTTTGGATTTATAACTAGAGGGCTTAACTTATACCTTTACAAGTGCATAGTCAAATTGCATTGCTTATCCTAATAAAGCACCATAATGCGATATTGTAGTTTAAGTTTATCGTTACGCTGATAACGCGAGACAAATTCACCTATATTTACATTGCTGTAGATAAAAATAATGTTTTTATTTTGTGCCTTTATTATGCTCCTTTTTTTGCCGTTTATAATCTCAGACTTTAAATGCTGCTCTATTGATGGCCTCCATCACTGTGCCAATATCAAATACTCTTTGGGACAGGTGCCTTACCGTTTATTCTCGCTTGCATGATTGGCCAGCCCTAATTGTTGAATGGAAAGTAAGTCTTTATGGATTGTATGGATATAAATAATCACTTTCTTCTTTGAGTAGGCCAATAATTAGTTACGAATTTCACTTTTCGTGTGCCAGATATTTTTATCCAGTCAGATAATCCAGACATTTAATAAGGTCTGATATATATGCACGGTAAAACAAAGTATTTAGCCAGAGCGTTTGCATTTATTATAGTATTTTATCATATATTGTACACAATCGTTGCTTTTTTATAAACGATTTTAAACTAATCTAATATATGAATTTGCATCTTGCTAATACCATAGTGATATCTCTTATTCATATGATCCACCTTCATATCAGGATTTGTAGTCGTATTTTCGGTTTGCCTATTCTTCTCATCCAATGGCCACCTAGGAACAAGCTCTTGATGGCGAGCACAAAAACTTATATTATGGCTCACTGTAGCCATGATAGACTCTGAATGCTGATTTGCAGGTGGTGTTGAGTTTAAAACTAAGCAAATTATCTCTCGCCCAGTTACGGTTTGCATTAGCACCACCAGTCTTTCTGGTGGGTTCACACTATCATGTGCGCTCCAGATCCTAGTTTCTTTCCACTCGGATATTATCCTCCAAAAAGCATGTATATGTGATCATAATTGGTCTTGACGAAGCATCCATGTTGATGGTCATATCATAAATTAGTTGATGACTGAAAAGAAAACCAGGCCAGGAGTGCGATATAAACGCATTCCAAATAGACAACATACATAAATATTAGCTGATACTTCTAGATATCCTCATCCTTTCTTTAATACAAAAAGTGCCCTGAGCTATGACCAGATGCAACATACTTTTTTTAAAAACCTGTGGACTTACAAAATCTTAATAAATGAAATTTCCTTCACACAATCCTATCATTCCTTGCAAATTCCACTAGGCCGGCTATGCTGAGTCACTGCTCCATCTTTTGTGAAGATGGGAAAACCATGTAATATCGGCCTAGATACATTTACTTTCAACTAATAGAATGATATTTATGGGTACCCTGTTCAATGGATTTAGACATAGTTTTGATTACTCTTTTAGATTATCATTTCCGTATAGTAGGAGAAGGATATCTAGGAGGCCAAGCAAATCAGGAAGGAGATTTCACATTATAGATCAGTAGGGTAATAAGAGGTAAATTCAAGATTAGCATCAAATAATGTATATTTGGTCAAACTATATGCCCATCAGTTTGGGAAATAGTTCATTATTTCACTACTGTAGCCAGAGGTGAGTATTCAATAGCCATATAAATACTTCTCTCTGACTGATAGTGAGAAAAATGTGGTCTTTTAGTGTCTTTAAAAATACTCTATTTAGCGTTATTTATCTAGAGGAGAATGGATGGCTATAGTTCCTGGGCCTAAAACTTTTTAGCTCTATTTAGATTGGAATTCAGCAAAAAATTCTCGCATTAATACTCGGTCACTATAATTATTTATTTAAGATCAAAATGTTCGAAATTTCAATATAATCAGATTTAGAATTAGGCAAGGAGTAGACTTGGACAAACTTGATCAAATATTTATTGCAAACAGACATCCAATAGTGCTTTAAAAGAACTGTAAGGATTTTGAGAGGCAGATGGAAATAGTATGCGGATTTATAAAGGTTAATTTTTACCTTTTCTTCTAACTGCCCCAGCCTATAATTATTTTATGAAATTTTAGTGCCATCCTGGATGAAAAATTAACACTTTTAGGCTTACAGATTTGGCCTACATTCACTGAAAACGTCTTCGCTTGATTTCCGAATGTCCCTTACTTCTTGCTTGTCGTCCCTTTTCCTTTGGCTAAAGATAGGATCTTGATCCAGACACCTTCTTTTTGCTAATTTATCCACGCATGAAATGGCAGACAGATTGGATTGTTTGGGAGTTTACTGCATACCATGCAGCTTCTGCAAATAGAAATATATTGACGATTCTGAAACAAACATCAGCATACTAATCAAGATACATCAAATGCTCTGCGAGTAAATTGTTACTGTAAGATCAAAAATAGTGAAACATTGCACAAATTGGACATTGGATTGTTTAGAAGGCAATA